TGACAAATTAAGATAGGTGAGTCCCCAGGACATGGCAATGTCAGAACTACTTTCTAACAGCTTCAATGCTGGCTCTACTGTGGACACTGCAGGGCACTACTGAATAATCAGTTGAGTTAAAAGGTTTGTGATGTTTGACATTCTGTTCTGCATACATACAGATTGCACCCTTTTTGACTGGGGAGAGAAGATGTGAGGAACTGCAAAAGATGAACTGCTGAAAGTGCAGCTCAGAAGTTCCTGGAACTGATTATTGTATGAAACAGACAACAAGCACCGTGTCAGATTCAGTACTCATGATATTCTTTGGAGTGACCTGCAGCTATGACTTGCTTTGTTGTTGTCAACTATAAAAGCACTGAGTAAATAGAGTTCAATATGCATTGATTATCTCAGCAGCTTTGATTTCCTTAAAGATCAAACCTGTAAAGTTACTCAGTCTGTTCCAAGTTCATAGTTAGACACTGCAATTTTTTCTAGCTATAATTGCCTTGTTGCAATTCTTAGCTATATTATGATTCTTCAGTATGATTTATTGCTGAAAGTAAGAAGAAGACAAAACCCTTCAGTTGCAGAGCTGTGTAACAATACTGTATCATTCAGAATTTATTTTTCTTGTTTTAGTTCCACCTCTCAGGTACCTATGGCTAACACTTCTGTTTGTCCTTCATTTATGTTCCCTTGCAGGCTGCACAAGAACCAACGCAGACCATTGAAGAGAGCTCAGAATACAAGAAAGTAACTATGTGACTAGCCTGAAGAAAATACTCAGGAAAAACTCCTGGAAACAACACAAGCTGACACTACTGAATGCCATAATCTAAACAATGTAAACTTAACAAGTGATGGTGTAATATTCATACAAATTTTGATGGTAAAAGAGCATGTAATGGTAAAACAGAAAACTAGTATTAAATTGTTAAATGATCAGTGATGTACACATTACTTTTCTCACGCTGCAAACTGATGCTAGTAGCAACCAAAATACTTCAGAAGTTTAAGAGATCATGAAGATAGCAAGTATGTTCATATTGATAAAATGCCTCTAAAGATCGTGAAAACTACTAAGCATGGAAATGTAACTTTAGCAAAGTCTAAAAAGAAAAAGATTATTGCATTGTTGTTGAACCCCCCTTCCAATCTGATATGTATTCAAATTAAGTTAAAACATCTTATACAAACTTATTCGATTGTGCTGAAAATAACTTTCCTTTACTCTAGGTACGTAAAAAAGTGTATATATAGTCTACATCATGAAAGAGACTAAAGGGTTTTCCATGGTGTCTCACACACTGCAGAGAATGGTGAAGCTGTAATTTTTGTGCTGTGAATGTGTATTTCCTTTAGCTATTTGTAAAACAATAGCTTAATTCAGCTTTGATTCAATGATTCCAGCCTTTGGTGCATTTTATAGCACAGTCTGTTCCCCAGCTAGTGGGTGGATTGCAGATGTGCACGTTTTTCTTCCGCTATCTGGGAAAGAAGACTGAAGGAAACACTAGGTATCTACTTTGTTTACTGATGCCTATTGATAGAGGTTGATTTGCATTTCAGAGCTTATTGTAAGGCGTATGGAGGTTGTTGACCCTTCATTATTCTATCCATTTCACATGCCCTTGCCTTCATTTCTTTTCTTCATCCTACGCCATATACTACTCACATGCATTATTTTTGTCTTTCTTTCTGAAAACAGGCATTTAATTCTGTAACTGAGATAAGTTGACAGGGAATGAGAGTCCTTGTTTGTACTGGCATCACCTTCATATTATAAGATCTTTGGTGCTTGTTGAGTAGCAGGCATACAACCAATATCTTGGGCCTGTACAACAGCAGCAGTTACATCAGGCATTGCCCTTGAAAATGTGATTCATGAAAACCGAAACTAGTAACAATTGATAGGAGGGAAGAAATAGCTGAGTTTTAATATTAGAAGTCTTGCTTTGATACCTAAACCTGCTGAATGTCACTTCATATCACTAATGAATTGGCAGGGCTCATTGAGAGAGCTTTAAACTAGGTTTGAAGAGGGAAGGGGATAAAACCAGGCTC